CGGTGTGTGATGCAGGCTCTGTCGCATCTGGTCTGGGACGTGTGCTGTCGTCTTGGTGTTGGCTGCGCTGATCCCTTGTAAGCATGTTCCTTTTCTCGTCTTCTCCAGACTGTTGTGGGCACAGCGGGGGTTCGCTCCGGGCATCCGGGACAGCTGCGTCTTCCTTCGTGACGGCAACCTGCGCTCGTTAAATGGGTGCAGCATTGCTTGCAGCTTGCAGTCTTATGCAGCTCCCGGCAACCTGGTAGGTATATACTTGTACACTACTGCTGAAAGGGAAGATCCGCACTTCGAGTTTTTGGCGCCTCTTCCTGTGGCAATCGCCCAGCTTGTCCTGCAACCAGTGCTCATGACCCTTCTAGACTCTAGACTTCTTGCGTCTGCCCCTGCAGTACTAGCATCGTCTAGCAGCACAGAGGAAATCACCCCGTCCTTCGTCCTGACTTTCTTTGGCTTCTTGGTTCAAGCTGTCCACCTGCGCAGGAAGTCGGAGGATGGAAATCAAGGAATTCGTTGTCATCTTTATGTTCGTCCCTCCTATCGAATGTTTATCGTCAGTTTACTCATTTCTTCTATCGTCCACGCCTTCCCCGAAACCAAAATCCCGACAAACGGTTCTAGGGCTGAGGCTTCAAAGGCATCGTTTGCAGTTAGCTTCGCATCTCTTACTGGTGCTGTATTTGGCAGATGGCCCTACGACAGCAAACCAGAAAAAATCGACAGCTCAGTTCGCCACCGCCATGACGAAGATGAACTTTCACATCAGCAGTTTGAACCGGCAGCCGCAGATGTCGATAACGCCGGATAGCGATTTCCACCCGAGTAATGGTACAGTTACAGGATGTTACAGAAAAGCAAGCGCTCACGAGAAGTTAGAATTAACTGTGCCTGTGCCTGCCCCTCTATGCCTCAGGAACCGTGCTACATCCACACACAAGCACACAGCGTGTTGTGCGGTGTGGCTGACCCTGCGTCATAACGCCCCCGCACTTCAACTTTAGCCTGCCTGCTTGGGCATGATTTCCCGCTCGTCAGAAGCAATGGCGGGCAGATCCATCTTCTGCGGCTGAATTTCTTGCTCAGCAACCGATGTGTTCGTGGCCACAGTGGGGGCAGCGGCTGCTGCATTATTTGGCGAAGCAGACTGACCAGCTGCAACAACCTGCCCAATGGACTGGAACTTCATTGTCAGTGGCCGATCTTTCAATAAGCGCTTGAATGTCTCAGAGTCCATACCTTGCACGGGCAGAAGTTCGTCCTTTCCCACCTCCGTGAGGACATCTCCTTCGCGCACGCCGGCATCATTGCCAAATGAATTCTCCGCAAGGCCCTTCACATCAACGCGACCAGGTGGCATCCCGTTAAACGTGATGCCAAGCTTGCCCACTTCCAAGCCTGCGATGATTGTGTACGTGTCCGTCGAAAGGCCGTCTGTTGCCGGCATTTCGCTCTGCGCGCGGTGCTCGGTGCCGTGATCCACATGACTGGAAGAGTTCTCTGCAAGGACTGGGGCAGTTGTTGCAATGGCCGGCGATGCAAGGAACCTCATCTTCAGTGGTCGGTCCTTCAGCAATCCCTTGAATGCCTCCTCGTTTATGTTCTCCAGGGGTTGCAAGTCGTCACTGCCGACTTCTATCAGGACGTCTCCCTCCCTCACACCGACTGTGCTGCCGAATAGGCCCGCAGCAACGCCCTTGACCTCAATCCTGCCAGGAGGCATGCTGTGGAAGCTGATGCCCAGCTTGCCAGTGTCAACGTTTGCCGCCACCGTGTACTCAGTTTTGGGGTGTTGCCCAGGAAGCTCATGCTCTTCAATGGGCCGCCGGGCTTTCTGCACAGTCTGAAAACGCAGTCTCAGAGGCCGATCCTTCAAAAAGCTCTTGAAGGTCTCGGCACTCATTCCATCCAGTGATTGCAAGGCATCTCTACCCGCATCGGTGAGCACATCTCCCTCCTGCACGCCTTTTTCGCTTCCAAAAAGACCTCCTGTGACACTCTTGACCTCTACTGAACCGGGTGGCATTCCATGAAATGTAACGCCAAGCTTTTCGCTGTCGTGATCTGCTGCGGCGATGGTGTACGAGCTGTGAGGGCTTGAGAACCTCAAGCGAATCGGACGTCCTGCTAAGCGTTCTTTAAACTGGTTCTCCAGCGCGTCAAGGAGAAGGCCGTCTACTTCCAAGAGCTCGTCTCCGGCCTGCACTCCCTGTCTACACCCGAAGGATTCTTGGGTCACGACTTTCACGAAGATCTTGTCGGGGGGAGTGCCACTGAACTGGATGCCAAGTTTCCTGGGATTTGGTTAGAGGGGATTAGAGGGGTGGGCGCATCCGCCTATTTAGCCAAATTCAATTGCGTCTGCTCTAGGAGTGCGATGGTTGTGTTGCTGCGTGCTAGCAGGATCAGCCGAAGCAGAGCACGCCAAGGCTCTGTACATCCTGTCCGGCCACGACAGAGTACTGCCGTAAGCTCATGCATGCACAAGCCACGGGATCTCTGGACTGCCGCCACCTCCTTGAAGGCTGGAGGTGCCAGCATCGACATGTTGGCGCTATCCATAGCCTGAAGCCAAATGCTCCTGCAGATGCCTCGGACAAGAGTCGCGGACCGAGTGGTAGAGTTTCGAGCTCGCAGGCTGTGGCAGCAAAAGGGAATCCTTATTGCATATCCCACGCGTTATGCGAAGTCTTGACTTTAGCAAGCAGATGCGAAGCGCCCCCTTTTCTGCACACAGCAGACATGTCGTGTCACCAGCATCGTCCCATCAAAGACCATGAGCGCTCGCCACGCTCCCAAACCGACGGATGCGATCCTGAGCAGACTCTGATTTCGCACTCTGCCTGGTTGTGGACTGCTGTGGACTATGACTATACTATGCTTCGACTGTTCGCACTCGAGCAGCGCTATGCGCGTGGATTCCCCGAAGCGCCCCTCCCTTACCTCCCTGTCCCTTACCCAGTGCCAGAGATCCGTTCATCATCTCATACCAGCTTCCTGCTGTTCGGCGCAAGTGTGCGGGCAACCACCCCGCATGACCAGGCAGGTTAGCATTGTGCACTGCCAAAAACTTCGGCTTGCACGCCGTATCTAAAAGCGGCCAAACACCTCGTAAGTCCAGTGGAGGGTCCAGCATCACCAAGTCCAGACTTCCGATGCTGCTGCACAGCGCATTGAAAACACCCAGATTTTCGAAGACGTCTCCGTGCAGAATCCACACGCCAGGATTCTCCTTCACCAGAGCTGCCATGCGACTGTTCAACCCTTCTGGCCGAGCCAAGGAAAGGATCTGAGTTGAAATTCCGACACTCTCCAGGATGTTTTGGGCATGATAAGCATTTCCCAGATGTCTCTCCATAGTAAAGAAGTACGAACCTCGCTTCTGTCCTTGACGCCGGTGCGAAGCTCCCGACAAGGCGTGCGCCAGCAGTAGGGTCGAGCCACCACCAACCCCGGTGAAAAGCTCTATGGCACTATTCATGCCCCGTGCGAGGCACCAAAGTGCCCGACCAAACTTGCAGGACCGCGATATACAGCCAAGCTCGCTCGCTTCTGTACCTCTGAGAGAACACTAAGCATGTCTCAACCCAGACCTTACACATCTGAAGCCAAGGCAGCCGGAAATCTTCAGCCAGAGGAGATCTGGACCGTGCCACTAGAGTTTTGGGCAGTGACCCCATTTTACAACCCTCTGCCTGGGAAAAAGGACATTGCAGCGGGGGGCATATCCGAATCCATTGGTTCGCAGGTTCCTGGTGCTTCCAAGAGCGTGTTTTGAAATCCACACTTGGAGGCCAGGGCATGCTCACAGCTTCGAAGAGACAGCCTGGTACGCCGCGTATCATTCAGAACGGGTGAGCAGCGATATTCCGTCGCAGCGGCACCTGCCATGATGATGTAGACAGCGACATCCCTTGAAGCCACCATTGCCACAGCGGTCTTAGGCTCTCGTTGTCTTGCACCTTCCGGGGGCTTTGTATCTGGTTGAGTGATGCCCTGTTGTTAGATGCTACAGATGCTAGATTGCTTGCGACCTTCCACGCGTCCTATGAGCTCTACATCGATTTGGGCTCGCTTTCAGACACCAGCGTGAAGCGGCACTGTTCAGGCGAGCATGAGACTGCGGTGGCACCATGCTTTTGCACTCAGCGGAGAAGGCGCAAACTTGTGTCACGGAGGTGGCATGTCAGGCTGGCCTGATGAGCAGTCGACAGGACCCTCTCACAAGGATGCAAAGATATACACACTCACTAGCACTCGACAGAGCAGAATGCCTGTCAGCACCGAGGAGTAGTAGTCGTTGTAGTCAAGGCGTGTCGCCAAGTTGCTCAGGAAGTGCTCATACCGAGCTTTGGACTCTTGCCTTGATGCGAAAGTCTGTGAAGAACTGCGCACTAATTGCATTCTAGCGGAACTCTCCGCAAGCTGTTCGCACTCGAGTTGCTGGATCTGACGCAGAAATGCTTGCAGCTGGCTTTCGAAAATGGTCTTCCATTTAGCCATCATCTTCGAATAGTGCCTGTGCAGTGTATGGAAGGGCCTTTTGTTGAAATGCTGGCTTGGGTGTGAACATGCGGCATGATGCGACATGGATTGAATCCGCCGAGGCCGGAGGCCTATGGCATTTGGATCTATATACCGTATATGCAAGCACAGTCGATCTGTAGCCCCTCCCACGTATTCTCTCCTCCCAGGATGCAACTTCCACCGGTGAGCCAGATAGGAGAAGCTCAGGTGGGAAACCCCGTCACCGCGAGCCCCTCCTTGGAATAGTTACTGACCGATGTGTGCGGCACCCAACTTGACTTCACCAGACTCGGACGTCAGGCGTCGCGGGAGTTTATTGCCACCGGTCCCAAGTTTTTGACTCACATTTTCAGTTCCCGTTCAACAAGGCATCCACGCCCACGTGCGTGTTAGCGATTGCATCAAAACACTGCCCGGTCTGCATGCTGAGAGCAATGCATAGAAATACTGCTACGCCAAGTGCCTCTGTGATAGAAGGGATAGATAACGCCTCACTTTTCAGCAAATCTGCAGTGCAGTTCGCGGACAATGCAAGAGCCCAAGAGCACAGTGCTACACGAGTCTGCCGAGGGTCTGCGTGCTGTGTCGCGCCTTTGCCAGCCTGCACAAAGCACAGAGTCGGTCGAAACGTGGTTCTTTCCCAGCAAACACACGCGGCAGCTTCCGCGGCAGCGCTTCCGCGTTGCCGCTTCCCCGCCTTCTCTCTGCAGGAGTCTTCCCATCCATTGGCTCTTCCAACGGCTCCACCCCAATGCTGTGCGAGAACCTGCCAGCCGTTGCGTGTCCAAAGCATGGGGCTATCATCGGATGCCGCACCTCCGCAGATTGTGAGCGAAGGTCAAGCATGTTTGTAGCACTTTCGAGAGATGCCTTCCGTAGCAGCCACGCAGATTTGTACTGCAAGCTTCATGCGGCTGCACTGTCAGCAAAAGGAAATCAGGACCTGTAGAGGTCTCTCTCCGTAAGAACAACTTCGCGCAGGCAGGCTTCCAGAAAACTTTCATGACCTTAGCTAAATTTAAGTTCCAACAATTCGCAAACAAACTCAAAAGACATCGTCTGACACTGCTGCGGTCTTTCCGTGCCCCAGGGCCCCCTTTCGTGCTAACAAAAGCGCTGGTTGCTTCAAGCCCTTCAAGTCTAAGCCTGAGGCAATGTAGCACGTCATCGATTGTCTCCGCTTGGCGCAGTGTTGCCAGGAACTCATGCGATTTCGGCTCCAACACTTCCACTGTGGCATAGTATATATAGTCACGGCAGAAGTGCAGCATCCGCTGCCGAAGAGAATAGTACCTAGGCTGGGTTTATCGAAGCAGTCTGGGATGCCTTCTTGTGCAGACCTTGTTTACTAGCTGGCAGACGTGGCACGGGCTGAAACTAGAGTCCAAGCCCAGCTCTTTGGTGCATTGATGGTCCACCCAGACTTCCACAAGCTTCCGTTCAACGTAGCGGCAGTAGAGTAGGTGTCGGAAGATGACCTCGCATGATTCGCATGTGTTGCACCAGGCCACCGAGCACGTGATCTGCGACATTGCAGTGCCCTTGCCTGGTACTTCAACAAGATGGTGCGAGAGAACAGAATTGAAAGAGGCCAAGCAGTACGGTACTTCAGCGTCAAGCATTTCACGCCAGAGCCATCATTCCCGACACCTCAACATGGCTCTTGCGCGCAGCAGCAAACGGCATGAACCGATTGATTGCTGCGCGTGGCCAGATACGAGAGTAAATAGTGCGAGCATGAGGCACAGTCAAGGACAGAAAACACGTTGTGTTTCATGTGTGCATTTTTGACTAGGAGAGCATTGAGACTAGACAGTGAAGTGAGTTCAAGGTCGCAGGTGCATGGTCTGCTCAGCATCACTGTCTTGGTTGCATTTCACTGCTTTGCATTGCTCATGTGCTTGCTTCATGATTCGTTGGCCGTAGCGACAGGTGGTCCGGAGCTTGTGTTCGTATCCGGCTGGAACACTTCGAGTTCAAGGCTACAGACATCAAGAAAGATATGTACTCGATGACAGCTTCTCTTTGCCGCTTCCGTAGTTTCAAGCTGGGATCGGACGGCTCCGCGTCTGCCCATCCTCTGGCCCTCTGTGCAAACAAACCCTACAACATCCGTGCAGCGGAAGACTTGTGCGAGTCCTCACTGCGCCAAGGCATGGTTAAACGCCCCCACGGGGCGCAAGTCTTCACTTCTACTCTTCATCAATGTCCGCCACATACCCCGACCGGGCGCTTGGGATCTGCTAGTAACTAGTGGCCGCTTAAACGATGTAGGCCTGACCGTGATTGGCGGCGATGCTGCCCAAAGCGCGACGGAAGAAGCGCCATTTTCTGTTACTTTCTGGAGAAACGGCGAGTTGCAGTTGCAGGAATCCACGTGTGTGATAACAAAGTTTCGAACTGGAACAGCGAGACCAGCCTCCCTTACAAGCACCCCTTACAAGACCCCTCGAGAGCTTTCAGACCGTACCACGGGCCAACGTCATACCTCCCCAAATCCGACTGTGTAATGCTTTTGTATGAGCACGATCTTTAGCCTCATTGGGGTCGACGTCAAGATATTCACGGGACAGCTCTTTGCGAGTGTGCAGATTCCCCACCCCGAGCTCCCATAGCCGCCATAGCCTGAAAGAAAATACACTACAAAAAACTCTGCTTCAACTTTCTTATCACGTCCTTGCCCCAACTCAATCCAGAACACTGGCTTGCAAAAGCCAGCTGTTGAACAAATGTCCGCAGAAGGATGACAGGAAAGCAGGGAACGGCACCCCAAAATCACCCTAAACGATCATGGCTAAATTTCGGGAAGCTGCTTGCCGAAGGTGCAGAGGCAGCAACCCCCGAGATGGAAGCTTCATCCTGCCGTGGCACGGGAAGAGAGAAGCATAAATCCTTCTTGGCTTCAGCTCTGCCTGCCACTACCAGACCACGTTACACACAGCCGGAGACAAAGAACACAGGACATATGAATCATATGAACATCTAGAGCGAGTTTGCAACTGCACATCATGTTGCATGAATGCTCCATGAATCTCCACGAACGGCTTCCTTGTCCGGATCTTCAGCGGATCCTTTTACCATTCTGTGGCATGCGTCCTGCAGGCCACAAGCAGTCTAAGGAGTCTCCAGCTGACACGCGGACAAGAAGACGAAAGCCGACGAAGTAGCTGTTCTACACAACACGCATTGGAATTGCTGAGCATCCTTACTTTGCTAATGAAGTCCTGTCACAGGGCCCGGTCCTCCACGCGAAAGGAATGGAGGCCGCAGGAGATGTCTTCACGATATGGGTCGGTAGCCAAAGAGGACGCACGCACAGCCAAATCAAGAAGGCCATCCAACCTTGGATTTCGTATGCAGTGGCGCCTCGCTTGTGGGACATGTTCCACGACTTCGGAGGTCCACTTTACTCAGACATCCCAAATCGTCATCCAGACCTTGCTGTCGCCAAACTTCTGAAACACAGAACTTCTCCGTGACGTTGAAAGTGGACTCCGTCTCAGACTTGTGAACAACCGCAAGTTGTTGTGCTGCTTTTTCCAAGTTTTATCCGGCCTTCACGTGTCATGTCGGGGACTGATAAAACACACTGCACCTTGCCCCAAACACAACCCTCGAGCAGCTTTCTTGCAGCCTTGCAAGACAGCGGCCGGGCCAATGGTATCTCTTCTGCAGGCCGTTCCAGCTCTCCAGCGGTATCCAAGAAGTGTCCGAACCAGTCCGCCTGGAAATCTCACATCAAGGATGCAATGGCGATGGCTGGTCCAGGCCTTGCTGAGGAAGAAGAAGTGGCGCAGGGACTTCAGCCGACCCAGAAGGTCCAGGCCTTCCTCAACGAAGGCAAACGTCATGGCAAATGCAGATCTGCACAACAACACAGCTGCAGTCGTCAAGATCGCAAGCAAGATTCCGGCTGCGGCTTCATGAACAGATCAAGTAAAGCTGCAGCTGCACGCCGGTATGCCACATCTATGGCCTGCTTAGAAGAAGCAAGTGACAAGAAACAGGGTCTGTTGCCTCTATTCATCTATTCCTCGCAACATGCTTGGCTTGATCTATCTTCAATACCACAGCTCTGCCCCACAAACAAAGGGTACCCTGCCCAAACTCGCTTCCTCGGATTGAATAAATCCGGAAGTCTCTACTAGGCTGTTCATATCTGAACGACCTCTATTGGCACGAACTACAAGTAGCACCGTGAGACTAAACCTAAATCGCGATGGTGGAACATGTGGTGCAGTTGAAGCAGTCCAGGGAACCCTTGGTGTTGCATGATTGTTGGGGACAACTGTCATTCAACACGCAACTACTGCAGCCTCTCGCGCTCCGTTGATTTGAGAGTCTAACTGAGGCGGCGAGACAATCACGCTCAGCAAAAAAGACTCTCTATTGTACTTCTCGAAGTCTGAATTCCCGATGACTTCGTAAGGGAATGCACAGAAGTCATGACACACCACTTGCTTCTTCTTCAGCTCCGCAGAGCTTTCGTACCCAGAAAAAGTTCCATGAAACATTGCAAGCTTCGTGCGCGATGTCATCCACTGCGACAGCAGAAACACTTCCGCAGGCAGAATTGCATCGGAGTCAAGCGGGACTTTGCAGCATGTAACTAGTGTGGGGTCGGGGGCACAAACGCACATCGTTGCAGGGTGTCGGGCTGGGGGGTCAGGTGTCTAATGTTTCTCGTAGAACTTCATGAACTCTCAGCCAGCCTGTCGGAAGAGGCTTGTGACTCGAAACGGATCTTCGTGTTCGATTCTGTTTAGGTGTCTATCTTATACTTAAATCCCACAGACCCAAATTTCGACTGAATCTTGAACTTCCGCCGAACTTCAAAGCAATTTGGACGAAGCCTTGGAGTCTGAAGGCGCGAGCGGCTGAGGAGCATGCTTCGGTACACCTGCACCTACCCTTAAAATTCAGAGTGCAGGCCTCGGCATAATCTCGCCGGCTCCGGGAGTAGCGGAAGGGTGCCCGTCCTCCTGCTGGCTCTGCCAGTTGTCTGCCAGCTGCCGAAAAATAGATGTGAAGGTACTTTCCTGCATGGCTCAAGTCAGCCAATGGCAAGTGCGCATGCTGTTCTGCTGCCTCTGATTCTCCCTGCCTGCATGAAGAATACGTTCCCGGCCAGATGCCAAGAACTGCGGAACAGCCCTGCAGCATCTCGGCAATCAAACGGTTTATGCTGGTTGCCAACTTACGGTTTCAGTGGGCTGTCGTTGCAATCAACGATCGACCGCTATAAACAAACAAACGAAGTGTCGTTCTTCCCCGCCACACCCCTCTCGCCATCATTCTTGTACATGATGGACATGCCATGCAACACCTGGACACTCTCGCTTCCTGTTCTTCCGAAGCTTCAGGAAGGTGTCCCAATCGCAGGTACAGTCTGGCAGGTCTTCGGGAAGTCTTGGTAGCATTTGGTAGCTGAGGCCATCATGCTTCCCAAACCATCTCCCTCCTGCCTAATCCTTTCCCTGCAGCAATGACTGGCTAAGATTATGCCACAGGGTCCTAGGTGCAGTGGCACCGACGGAGCATGAATTTGCAAAAGCCGGAAAAATTGGTGGCGAAGGTGCAGCACTAGTTGTATCTCAGCCAGGGTTGGGTGAGTGCAGACCTAGGGCCTAGGTCTTGCAAGAAATCATTGTTACAGAGAGGCAGCGCACTGACTGTTTCACACAGAACCTCCTCCCTGAAGGAGCGTTTCTGTTGAGGGGTGGCCACAACACTCCAACTCCACGACTGCCACCGTGGTGTCTGGGCACATTTGATACCACGACACCATCCCCCTTACTGATGTGATGTTGGAGCTCATGCCCCGCCAGATCATGCAAAGGTGGTCGCGTCCAACCGATGGAAGAACCATTTGTGCCAAACCCCGGGCTGGCCCGAACTACTCACTGGCTTTGAGCTTGGTCAAGGTGACTGAGGGGTGGCCCAAACTCATCCGCTTTCCCCCCTCCGTCATCGTGATCTGGTTCTTTCTCCCTTCTCTCTCTACAGGATGCGAAGGGGTTGCTGTCTCTTTCTCTGTCTCTCCGCCCCTTTTGCGCGATTGTCCTTCGTTGCAAATCGTTTTGCTCCTTCTTATGAACTGTGTCGCGCAGCCTCTCATCCAAGGTGAAGTGCTTCTGCCAGAAATCCGCTGCTGGACCGCCAGTTCGCTCATCACGGATTCGAGAGCTTTCAGACCTCGGCCGCCGAAGCGAGATAAACGATGACGCATAGCAACCTATTCAACCACAAGCTGAAAGATGCAGCGAAAGCGAGACAAGCCGCACGAAGAACTCACCATACGGATCTTGTAGCTGCCCCTCATAGACCCACAGGGACACCATGTCAAAGTACGGCCGCGAAGCCTCCAGAGCCCCAGGGAGGATCCGGAGGTGGCAACATTCTAACATGGCCATGTCCACTCTATGCCCGAGATCAAGCGAACTTGAGACTGCACTAAAACACTAGCAGACCCAGCTGCCTGCTGCAGTAAGTGTTCACACAGATCTTGAGCTGCAGCAAGACCGGTCTTCGTCATCACTTCTTCAATTCCTCATGAAGAGAACATCATCGGAGTATGCCCTTATGCAGATGACTCTTGACACTCTACTGCCTCGCAGCTGCCATTCAAGACAGCTCCACCCAGTTGGCCAAATACATGCGCTGTAATTCGATGCCTTAGAAGATAAAGCGCCCATAGCGAAAACCCAGCCGAGACTTCCAGAATGCGCGTTTACCGGCATGACGGCCCAAAAGAAGTCAGGGGTGCTTACAAAAGCTTCGTCGATGTGTCAATCGTCAAAACGAATCTGTTGAACAGCCGTGTCACGACACTCTGCCGGATTGCACTTTACAGTGTGAGGCATTCCGCTGACACACATGCAGTCCCAACGTCTGGTTTTGAGAACCGTTCTTCGCCGCCACTGAGCACTTTCAGGTGCAAATCGGTGTTCGACAATCCACTGTAACTTTGAGTCTTCTCCAAGGCGAGTCTGAGTCTTCCACGGGCCCAAACAAACTTCGGCTGGGGTTCAGCCCCGGGCCCTGTACTAATCACTAATCAGCAAAAACTCGCTCTAAGGGAGACTTCGCATCAGCAACATCTTGGAAGCACCTCTCACGCCAAGCATGAAAAAATCGGTTTTACTTTTCGCTGTTTATGCACGACAAGGCCCAAGCTGCAAGAGTGCGAAGGTGTCCATGGAAGCCTGGGATTGGTACCACAACTCTGCCAAGCTCAGTTCGCCAGCGCGAAATGCTGCTTCCCACCGAGCCACCTGTCACAGGTGCAGTGCTAAAAATGTTGGAAGAAGCCACGGGGTAAAGAGTGGTGGCATCCAGAAGGCCTGAGAAACTAGGTCGTGCAAGCCACTTATGTTCTTTCATGATTTACACTTTCTACGGGATTTGTGTACACAATTTCGTGTGCTCCGTATCATCATCTACATAGTCTTTGGCGTCACACTCACTCACGAGCATGGGCCCAATGAACAATCGGTGGCCTTGCGAGTGGATATTCCGAGAATGTGCGCTTCTAGTACACGATGCTGGGTTCGATACGTGTTCAAACAAGTTTTGGGCCAGCGAGCCCGTGTGGCCACAAAGGGCAGGGAGATGGCACAACAAAAATGTCGTCGCAATTGTTGAATCCGCCGCCACAAGCCTCCGGCGTCTTGGGGGTTTAACTATTTAACCTCTACCTAATCCTCCTCCCTCGTGACACCCGCCTTTGTTCCACAATTTCGACCCCCCGGCCCCAGCTCTCCCCCGCCCGCCTTGTTTGCTTTAATGCAGTACAGTCATGTACCTTCAGCAATGACAGGCCACTCACATGTATGTTCCGCAACATATGGCTCAAGCGGTGTTATGATACCAGCTGTCTCAGGGACAGCAAAACAAGCGTATTGCAGTGTGCAAGGACACGTATGGACAAGTCATCAGGTCCAGCAGGGACCTTGCTGTACCTGTGTCCTCCCATAGAAGGGGGATATCGGGTCAGTTTTCTGGTAGCACTTAAACCGCCGCAGCGGTTGGCTCCAGCCAATCGATTCCTAAGGCGGGCGTTGAGGTTGCACGATGTCTTCACAGAGTGATGCAGCAACTCGTCCGGAGGCTACTCAGAGGACGAAACCTTGAAGGTACGTCTTGGGCCACAAGCCAGGCATATTGTGTAACGAGCGACAAAATGCTCAGCCATCTTGGTATCACACCATATCACACCGAAAATAGCACCTGCTTACGATGGCACCACTTCGAGGTTTGAGTATCAACAGCTCATCGATGATTGGTGCGACATCACAACGTTGGATGAAACCAAGAAAGGACCGTCTCTTAAGACGAGGCTCTCCGGTCTAGCAACAGTGCAAAAGCAAACACTAGACCGAGACAAATTTTGAGCCGCCAACGGAGTAGAGTATTTCAAGAAGAAGGTGCGTCCCTTTTTCGTGAAGGGCGAGCAGTATGTCTTCCCATGGATGTTCTTGGATCTTTCAAGGCGTGGAAAAACAACCAAGACTTTGTCACTCGGATTGCTAAGTTCGATGTAGTCCGGCAGGGCTTGCGAAACTCCTGGATGGACCTTTTACCGGAGGTAGCTCTGGCTGATAACCCACTGGAGTTCGCAACTGCCCTCAGACTTTGACGCGCTTACAGGACCCGAGCGCTGAAGCGAACTGTGGGCCAGGAGCGGAACATGACATGGAGTGTCTTCAGTGAGCTAAGGTTGAGAGCAGCAAAACTTGAGGTCAATGGCAGATAGTGTCACGAGATTCTGGCTGCATTCAACCTTCAGAAACACGCCACGCAGCAACAGCAGCAGGAGCCAAAACCGGAAGTGCAGTTGCTTGTTATGTCTGTGTCTGCGGAATTGCAAGAACTTGTGGAAGATAGGGTAACGAAAGCGTTGCGGGAGAGGTTGCTGGACACGGTCTTCACGAAGCAGGAGCACAAGAACTTCCACCGGGCCCAGCTGATGGTACAACTGGTGCAACCGCCTGGAAACTGGATTTGGCAGTTGTCGCTGAGGGTTGTGTGTCAGGAAGACATCTGTCGACTCTGTGGCTGGCCAAAATGGAGGAGCGCGACTTGTTCCACCACTACCGGTGCATGGTGCAGACTCTGCATGCAATTCTGGACGAAACCTCGTATTGGGCCCCGAGAAGGTTCGAGTCTCCAAGTGTACAGGGCACCTTGCCGGGGCTGATCAAAGATCCAGGGCCAGTAAACATATCTCCCAGAGCACCAACAATGTACAACCCCTGGTAATGTATGTGGATGTTTCAGAATCGACGTCTGGAGGATCATGCGCCTGGAATTTGCCGGCACGGTGCCGAGCCTCTAACCTTGAGGTCTGGAATATGCCTCCCATTGTACAGGATACTGATCGAAGACACCTTGCTGAAGCTGTTGACAAAGATTGCGCCGTCAGTATCTCTGTGGGTAATTGCAGCAGCATGGCCCTAGCCCCTACCTCGCTTCCCCGTCCATTGCACTCTCAGATTCTCAGGTCCTCCGGCATACGACGTCGTCGCCGAGTATTTTGTGCCATTCCGCCGGTTCGGGGTTTGGTTGTGGGCAGCGGTCTTGGTTGGGTTTTGGATGCGCCTGCACTGTCAGGTTGTTGAACGGTTGTTGTGCGTCCCTTTTGCTGCCTGCGAATGTTGCGTGTTCGCTAGGGCCGCTAGGTTTGGGGCTTTGGGTTGGGTTCTTCCGTTGTTGAGGTTTAGCTAAACCCGAATCCTCAGGGGTCATGGGCTATACAAAAACACCCTCAAGGACACTTTCAGCCTCCGAAAGCGTCCCGCAGCTATGTTTCATAAAATTGAATTGCTGTTAAGTCGGGTTATTCGGGCTTAGCTAAACCCTGACTCAACAGCCATTAAACCCCTGCAGGACACTTTCGAAAGTGTCCCTCAGGGTTTTTCTTTACGAAGGGAAAGCCAACAGGTTTAGCTAAACCCGAATCCTCAGGGGGTTTTGTTGGGCTTTCCCCCCTGCAAGGACATGGACACTTTCAGCTTCCGAAACTTTCCCGCAGCTACGTTTCATGGGTTTAATTGGCTGTTAAGTCGGGTTTCCTGTTATTCGGGTTTGGCTAAACCTTAATTTTGGTGTTCAGTAAATACCCTTTTCGCGTGTAGAAACCCGGACTCAACAGCGATACAAACCTATGAAACAGAGCTGCAGGACACTTTCGGAGGCTAAACGTGTCCCTCAGCGTGTTTTTGTATGGAGGAAAGCCAAGAGGTTTAGCTAAACCCGAATCTTGAGGGGACACCCTCAGGGACACTTTCAGCTTCCGAAAGTGTCTCGCAGCTATGTTTCATGGGTTCAAATGGCTGTTAAGTCGGATTTCCTGTTATTCGGGCTTAGCTAAACCTTAATTTTGGCGTTCAGTAAATACCCTTTTTCGCATGTAGCTAAGCCATGACTTCACAGGTTTATAAACCCAGGCTACACGTGGCCCTCAGGGTGTTTTTGTATGAAGAAAGCCAGGAGGTTTAGCTGAACCCGAATCCCCAGGGGTCCTCTTGGGCTTTACCCTATACAAAGACACGGACACTTTCAGCTTCCGAAAGTGTCCCGCAGCTATGTTTCATGGGTTTAAATGGCTGTTAAGTCGGATAAGTCGAGTTTAGCTGAACCTTAACTTTGGCGTTCAATAAATATAAACCCTTTTCGGGTGTAGCTAAACACTCACTTAGCACAGAGCTGCGGGACACTTATTTCGCACGCAGGCTAAGAGCGCCCCTGAGGGCGTTTTTGTGAAGTCAGCAACCCGAATGTTCAGGGGTCTTCTTGGGCTTTCACCCATACAAAAACACCCTCAGAAACACGTTCAGCCTCCGATCGGGTTTCCGGTGTTCCGCACCTACAGGGGCAGTTTTCACAGCACCTGGTCCCTCAAGCAAGGCAAAGGTACTAACGCGCGAACTCTTATCATCGAGTGCCCCAATCATTGCGCTGCGGGCTGTAAGAAAACATGACAACAGGAGGGAAAACATGCCTTAGATATAAAATACTGATGTGAGGTGCAGAAGTACTGACCACTCGGTCGTTTTTTTGGTTGGCGCACGGCTGTGGGTTCCTCCTGTAAAAGCTGAGTAGCCTAGTGCCGTTCTCTTGCAGTGTGTGCTTGCGTTGGCTCACGAGCCGCATCCATATTGGATGCCATCGTCACGACCCTCTCAGCCAAACGGGGCCCCTTTTGCGAAGTGGAAACGTAGGCTCCGCCAGTCTCGTGTGCCCAGGTACCCAGTCTCGTTCTGCTCACTGTCTTTGGGTGCTCCGTCTGCCTCGTAGGGTTTCGCGGTCTGGTAGTACATGTGAAGGGCTCTCCTCTGTGCCATCGTCTGCTGGTGAACGTAGCTGGTCCTCGACTTGAAGTTGCGACGGCGGGTGCAGCCCCCACTCCTCTTCGGTCCACACCTTTAGATCTGGTCGCCTTCACCACTGGGTGCCCCGTCTGCTACGGGTTGTACTGGCTGAGGTGAGATGGAAGACGACGAGGAGCTGCTGTGTGACCCCTGCTCTCGTACTGTTGACTGGGTGGTTGTGTTCTGTGGTGGCTCGCTTGCTGGGGTGTGCGATTTCTTCTCGGTATCCCTGCCATTTGCTCTGTCACGACCTCATCCATGTCCCTCGCCCATCTCCGGCGTACTGTGGCGTCTGCGTGAGGTCACTTTCTGGGGAGCGGAGGATGTGGGTCGTCTGTACCGAGTTCTCGTCGAGCTGGTGCTCGAGGTTGTCCTGGTTCTGCAAGTTTGCCCTGGGTCCACAATCATGTAGCATGTCGCCTCAACCCTACTGCTGGCGGGCCCCCGTCAGGTCCCCCGGGTGGACAGCCCAGGTACCCACAACGGAGATCCCAGCTACAGGTGAGGACTTTTGCGTGCGTGCACGCGCACCGGCGGGTCCTTGCAGGGTTTTCCGTTTCCACAGGAGGGTTCAGCACCCAGCGGCTGGGCTATACATGGGCACGCGAAGTTCAACGCCTTCCCCCCTCCCTCTCTCTCTCTCTCTCTCTCTCTTTCTCTCTTTCTCTCTTTCTCTCTTTCTCTCTGTCTCTCTCTCTCTCTCTCTCTCTTTGCTTTGCTTTGCTTAGGGCATAGGGCGGGAGCAGCCCTTTCTCTCTCTCTCGATTCCTCGACCCGCAGGCCTTACCCGCCCATCCACCCCCTGTTTTAGTAAGTGGACGGCTTTG